GTGTGTGTGTGTGTGTGTGTGTGTGTGTGTGTGTGTGTGTGTGTGTATGGTCAGTCCATCCCTGAGATTACCTGCCCAACCTTCAGGGCCATGGAAGACCCAACCAGAATGTCAGAAAACCATGAGGAGCTACAAAACTCCACAGGGAACACCATGCAGCAACCATCATCTGATGGTTGCTGACCCGCACACTGACCCGCAAGTCACTCCCCTCAAACAAATACAGCCACAGTTGACAGGTACATGCACACTTTCAGCAAACTGCTGGTTTGACTAAAAACTAATAACCAACTCTAGATGCAAGAGCATCAACATGGAGGGCACAGTGTGCACCTGGCATGCTTCACAACCTAGATGGTCCAAAAGCAAGAAGAGGAAACAATACTCTTCCCTGGAGGACTCTTGGGTGATCGGCTTCTCTGGTTAGAAGCTACTACTGCTGACACCTGGCCACCACATTGTTGCTTAGCTGTGGAGACAATAATAACATGGCGGGCCAGCATGGCCCCTGTTTATTCTACCTGTTATTCAGAGATAATGCTGGCTGCCTGCCTCTGCCAGGAATACAGGATCCTAGACCTGGCAAAAGCTAGATGTCACCTAAGCCAAGTTCTGGAAACCACTTGTCTGGTGCACTCATTCATGAAAAAAAAAAAAAAAACACTGCTGATGTTTACATTAAGCACATGGTAAGTAAAGGGTAGATCTGTGCTCTCCAAGACCCTGCTCCAATATGTTACATGGCGTGGTCCCTCAAGGCAACAGGGCCCAAGTGTCTCCAGAAACCATCCTCAACCTTCTGGTCCCATGGTAAACAGACCCCACTACCATCCAAGACACTTCTTTAGAGCGAAGTCTTGGCTTATGTTGGGTCCTCCATCCCTAAAGCCTCCAACCCAACACCATATCCACACACCCCTCCAAGAACATCAGCAGTTCTCAGCAGGAGTGGAACTGCCATTTGGAGAATGTAAGTTATGTATCCACTGTGTCTCCTGTATTAAAGGACATCTAGCACCCTTGGCCATGCCCTCTAAAAACCAATGGAGACCTGGCCTCCGGGGACTAAGACAACAGAACACTCCTGTGGATTTTCAAATTCCCTCACAGAGATGGCACAGCCTCCAGCTCTGAATCGCTAGTTTGTAAAACGCCCTCATTCCCAGCCTTTTAGAATGATCCGATTCCCTGGATTTGCCAACCTCCCATGTAGAACATCAATCATGATCTTCCTCGTACTATTCTTACTATGCATTTGATTTATTCTCCTTCCCAATATGGGCTCCCAAAGGAAGAATCCGGGCTTCATTTCTCTCCATACTGCCAAGTGAGGCTCATGGTCAGGTTAATAGTAAGTGCTTATTAAAAGCCTGAAGAAAGAAAAAAAAAAAAAAACTGTGCTAGGGCACAGAGCCTAGGAAGAGAAGAGATTAAAATGAATTGGATCATCACAAATAAACTACTCTTGTCAAAACTAAGGAAGATGCAATTAAAAAACTGAAGGTAGGTAAATAGCCTGCTCTTTTGGGATATTAAGTATACTAATTTATATAAATAAACTTAAATAGTAGATATTATACTTAATTATATTACTATGATATTGAGATGAATTATAAACATTAAGTATTTCAGGGTAATAACTCCTGGGAATTTTAAATGAATGTGCTAGGGGCACATATATTATCTCAATTGGCTGAGGGTCTGTTTTCCTGCCCTGAGTTACCTCACAGCCCTACAGAACATTCTGCTGAACTCAGTATCTCCCCCGGTCATGCAAAGCTCGGAAACGATGCCCCGTCACCAAGATGTACTTGTGTGAGATAGTGAGAGGGGAGTGAAATCAAATCTCCCTGCTGCTCTTTCTTCCCCCAAATGACAATATGTAATGGAGACTCAAACAAACCCTGCATTAACAATGTCATGGCCAGTCACCAGCTACAGGGACGGTAGGGCAGCAAAATTTCAGACACCTCAGCAGTGGCTTCCTAATCCCACTTTCACTGTCCCTAGCTCATGAC